AGCGACTTTATCCTGTCATTTTCTCTCTTTACAGAGACAAGTGTTGCAGTATGAGAGTCCCTGAAGAGAGGCTATGAAGTCTTCATGTTACACGATACGAGAACCACATACAACATTATTTATCAAATTGGGTTGGGCTGGATGAATTTAGCGCGAAGATACACGTGACAACGTACGGTTTTCAAAATAAGGTGTCTATACAGGATGGAAATAAGATTAATTGGATTATATTTACAGAAGGTATAAAGCATTGTACATGTGTACATTAAAAGTAAATGGACACATGTAATTTACTTTACCGGATCCTCTTGGGCCTCGGACCCGCCCACCATAGTTTCTCAAAATCCTGTGGGAAACACTGAGTAAAAAGCACATTTTGTCTATTTAATTTATGCAATGGTAAAAAAAAAAAAAAAGGCAAAATAAATGGTAAAAATGTGAATGTACTTTTTTGGTATCCGGCAAATCTTTTCATGATATTCGGTTTTGGCTTCAGCAAAGAATTTTAATTTTTGGCGCATCTCTACTCCTAACTCATAAATACCCCCTGCAGTACTGCTAATTGCTGTTAGATTCTGGCTCCAAACACAATGGACTCCGTAGCTTATTTTCACCTCTTCTAATAGTGGTGGTAAAAATCTTTTTAATTCTAGCTAAAGGAGAGGTGGCAGTGAGGTTGATGGGAGGATGAGTCCAAGGGAAAGACATGGTACAAGGAGAAGGGAAATGTTTTGAAACCCACCAGAAAGCTTATGGGTGATATTTTAAATGTCATAAGACCCTGATCGTCCAACACCACAACCTCAAGTGTGTACATGGCAGTGAAGTAAGCCAAATCATCTTTGCTGAGCAACATCACACTGCTTCAATTACAACCGGCTTAAGTGGGATTTCTTTGTGTGGACTTCTCCTGCGTCAAAGCTGTGCTCACAGTTTAATTAGCTCAGAGGTGAAATGTATGATACAGTCTCTTAATATGGGATGAATACTATGTAATACTGTAGATGCACATAAACATGATTCATGCACACGTGTGCAGACATGCTTGTAAATTTAAGTAAGACGTCACCTCTTTGATCTGCCTTTCGTATGTTCCACTGCAGTCATCATATTGTAAAAACGTGCTCTGTGTTGATTTATTAAACCCAGAAAAGTAATGCGATGGAGCAAAAACAATGTTGTGCACCTGTGTGTATTTACAGAGTTATCCTGAATCCAAAATTATTTTGAAGGTCTTCATCCAGACTGAATTTGTCTCAAGCAATTTTCTGACAAATATGCAATGTGTCATATTAAACTAGAAAGAACAAATTACTTGTCCTGCTGAACAGCCAAATGAGTTAATAATGATGTTCCGGTTTTAAATAATAGCAATTGTGACCAGCTCCAGTCATGTTTTTCACATGGCTAGCTGTTTTTGGTATTCAGTCATACTCAGGATACCGTCGACCAAGTATTGTTTTTCGTTCCAGCGAACTGCCCTGACATATAGTTGGAATCTTTCCATACCTCAAGTCTTAAATTTTATAAGTGAAGATCCTTTGGAGAAATTAAATATATTCTGTATAGAAACTAGTCAGGATTAAAGGTTCTTCACATTCTGAAATGCAGGGTTTGCCCTAGCTTGAAACCTTCTGGATGTTTTAATTGGCTGTGAGGTAAAGTAAATCACATGGCCTGTTGTTTTGAGCTGGATAAACAAGCACAGACACACACATACTTAAACCCTTACAGGTATGGCACCCTCGACCAGAGCCCTGCTCTGCGCTGTGTATCTCTCACTGTTGACACTCTGGTGGAAATTGTGACATGACCAAAACAAAGGTGATGCATGAGTAACGGTACTGAACACCTGTGGATGTGCCTGCTATTCACCTCTTAAGACTTGCATCTTCTAATTAGAGCCCGACCGATATGGTATTTTTAAGTCCGGTACCGATTTTGATATTTGAGGATTTTAAAATCGGATGGCCGATATTCTTTTCCCCCCTTATTTTAAGAAACCCATAATATAAACAAACATTATCCCTAACATTTGTTATGTGGAGACCTCACCAAGATACCATGACATAATGCAGTTTAAAAATAAAATTTGTTGTTGTTTGAAATAGTACTTTGAACAAAAGTATAAAAAATATATTAAAGTTTTTATAAATAAGAGTAAAATGTATAAAACTACAGAAAATATTTTTAACATATCTGATTTATTATAGAGTACTACTACTAATGAACATTAAATGAAATAGTGTATGTATTGTGGGGGGTCAGCGAAAGAGAAACTAAAAATACCAATATAGTACTACTACTAAAAATAATAATTATATCATATATCATCTCTCATGTCATTGCTAAGGATGGGGATCGAGATCCGGTTTCAAAAGGACCTGGTTCCAAAATTTCTCAAAACCCGAAAATCAATAAGGTTTGAGCTTATCGATACTGCTGTCGAGATTTGCGGGTCCTATGATGTAACGTATATGTCTCGAGCGTCAAATCCAATTTAATTTGAAACGCAATGGATAAGAAAATCATCAGGGTGCAGTCTCTGCCTGCACTCTGTCGGCGCACACACACACACACACACACACACACACACACACACACACACACACACACACACACAGCGGCAGTAGCGCGAGAGGCTGCGCCGTCGCGGTGGAATACGTTGAGGGTTAAGTTAGCTCCAAACTACTGTGACGTTGCGATAAAACCTTCGCAAGTAAAAACACAATACTTTATCAATATGTAAGGTAACGTTAAACTGTAGAAGTGGTTAATTTAATCATCTCTGTCCTCAGTATCTCATCCTGTTTTATACAAGCACAGCTAACGCTAGCTTGGCATTAGCCAAATGTTAAAAACAAGCTAAATAGAAAGCTGTCTGTCTGGAGCACAGACTGGTCTGTAGTCTTAAAAACTCAGCTGCTGGCTGAGACAAACCAGCCGCTCCTCTTTCGACCTGGTAACGTTACCTGCAGCCAGCGAGAGAGGAGGAGGGACTGATACAGACTGATGTTGTTCTTTCTAAACGTCACTCACTACTTGTGATGTCAGATAAAGTTATTGAGTTACTTTGCTGTTGTAAACATTAATGTTGCTGCTCTACAAACAACATTTAGCTGTATTTAAAATATTAAATTAAAAACAACCAGGCAGTTAATATGCACACTTTAACATATGTTTATTTATCGCAAGTGATATGTCATCTCAATATATAACGTTATCGCACATTGAATATTTTCCTCACACCGTGCAGGCCTACCTCATGCCCCTTGGGTCTGGTCTTACCAAATAACCATCACTAAATAATAGTAAAGTATCGATAGTGGTATCGATAAAGAATCAGATCGTTAAGCAGTCTCAATAAGGGTATCAATATCAATAAAAATTAAGGATCCCCATCCCTAGTAATAATGATAAACTGGACTCTGCTACATAGGCAAATTATATATGAAAATTATATATATTTATATATCATTTTGTAACACACTTCTGGCTCTATGATACAGTGACAGAGGAAACGCTGCCTTTGAATTAATTTAATACTACATGACTGTCTACAACGAGGATCTGCAACTGTGTGTTAGATACTTGTTAACAAGTATCTAACACTGGTTGAATCATTTCTAACACACCGATTGTAACTACAGTTTAATGGCTCATTAATGTTAGCCTCCTCCACTGATAAACACGGCATTAGCTTTCTGACTAATTTTGCAACATGCCGTGTTATCTGCTGTTGGCGATGTTAGAAAATTACAAAAATTACATTACACCTGTTGCCAGAAATCTTGGTGTCCTTTTTGATAGCAATTTTTGCTTTGAACAACACATTCAAAGCTTGTCCAATCATGCTGGCATCTTAAATGCCAGAGATTCTGAAACTGTTATACATGCTTTTATTTTGTCTCTCCTAAACTACTGCAACAGTCTGTTCTCAGGTCTAAATAAAAAAACTTTGAACTGCCTACAATTAGTGCAGAACTCAGCTGCTAGGTTATTAACCCAAACTAGGAAGTTTGACCATATCACTCCGATTTTATTCTCTTTACATTGGCTCCCTGTCTGTTTTAGGATTGATTTTAAGTTCTTATTGATTTGAAAGCTCTTAATGGCCTGGCTGAAATCTAGAGGAGAAAGAGCCTTTGCAGTAACGGCCCCAAGGCTCTGGAATGATCCACCTGTTGACATCAGGATGTCAGAGTCTGTGTCTTCTTTTAAGTCCCGCCTGAAAACGTATTTATTCAGATTTTTATCTGAATTGGCTAGCTGTTGTTTTATTTTCATTTTAATTTGTGCATGCTTTTTCTTATTTCAATGGTGTCTTTTTAACTGTTGTGATTGTAATTGTTCTTTATCTTCTGTGAAAGCACTTTGTACTCTGTTTGATAAGTGCTCTACAGATTTATCTACAAAGTTGTTATTATTATAAAATATTTAGAAGTAATAAATTAGAGAGAAATGAGAGGACTGGTTGTTGGAAATGCCAAACTGTTTCAAAAATAAATCTACAATCACATCTGTCAGCAGCATAGCCTCCAACACTAGGTTACCGTAACATTAAACACACTCCTGAGCCTGGAGAGGGCAACTCACCGAGAACACTGAGCTACCAGGAGCTACTCTCCGTAGCTCCGGCAGAGCCGCCCTGAGCTCTGGTAGACTGCTATCAGCTGCAGTGTTGTTAACAGAGGAGCTGCATTGTGCCCTCTGGTGGGCAAACTATGCAACACTCATGACATGAGGGAAGGATCCGACTCTCTGTTTCTCTTTTCTAATAGTCATATATTGGCTGTGACGCCGATGCAGATACATCTGGAAGTAGCTTATAGCGGCTGATAATATCTACAAAGAGATAAATCAGTCGGGCTCTAATTCTAATGTTTGGTGTTGTGGCACAAGGTTGCTAGGTTAAAAGGATAAAATAGATGAAGATGGGTGAGGAGGTGCGAGTATCTATAATAAAGTGAAACGACAATTCTATCTGTTCTGTCCCTTAGCGCTCCACAACAGAGACCATGAAGAGGCTGCCCTTCCTAGGCCAGTTCCTTGGCCGACTGTGCTGGAACCCTTATGTCACTGCTGATGGTGAGTGCGCCTTCTGAAAAACTTTAATTCCATCTGTAATGGGGAATAGTGGATGGATCACGTCATGACGAATCTTGAGTCATTTTGATGGTTATGCGCTGTGTAAGGTTGTTATGCTAAGCCAGAAATCTACATGAACTTATCAAACCCGCTGTGATTGCTGGTGTCTTGTTGTCTGCAGCTGCAAGCAGAAGGCTGTTGTTCCAGTGTCTGTGGGGACTGTACTCGGAGCATCCAGGCAATGCTGTGGAAAGAAAAGCCAACCAGTGGATAAGGGTATGGACTTTCTCTATCTCTGTTAATAGAGAACTTACACTGAAGTAAATTAGGTAGACTTATATTATTGATTTTATATAATGTATTTTTGGAGTATCATAAATAAGGCATATGGTCTAAGAAAAGTGATCTCTTAGTTTCATGTATTTCCCTAATTCCTTATCTCTCTCTGTGCCCTAATTTCCTTTCCTCTCTTTATCATAATATCTCTAATAAAAAATTCTCAAAATTACTTAATTAAATAGATTATATCATCACAATTATAATATCTAATGAAAGCATAAGTAAATAAGACACTTAATCTGACCACGCCTTCAATGCCATTTTTTGGTACTTAGCGTTTTCGATGTTTGGTGCTAGAGACACATTTTGGTCGGTATTGGTATTGAAGCTAAGTATGTGTGCTTGTTTGTATCATAATTGTTTAGTTATTTCTGACAATGGCAGCTTACTTACCGATATAATAAATAGTCAATTATGATGCCACATAAAGTCATCTGTACCCTCTGAGGTTTCATTGGTCATATGGCTCCAACTAGGGAGGTTACACAGAAATTAAAGACATACTCATAAGACAAAATCCCAGAAGAATTTAAAATATTTATCAAGAAATCAAGCCACAGGTCTCCTATTCATAACATTATTTAGACGTTAATGTATATTCTGCTCCAGTCGTCCATCATATGCCTTTTCTCATAATTTTAGGCCAGGTCTGTTTGCTGTTTAGGTCCTTATTACTTCATAGAGATACGGATTGACCGTCATCCCTTCTAACAATACTCTTCAAAGGAATCCCTCTTCGATTGCCTTTGGGCTGCTGAAGAGATTTTCTGTCTAATTTGCTTTTAATAGGAGTACTCTCGCCAGGCCTCTGCATCTCCTCTCCAATGGGACATGCATGATGAATGAGGTAGATTGAGTCTCTTTTAGTCCAAGCCTTTTGTGCACAAAACTGTAAAACATATTTTGAAAGAAAAATGAAAATGGACTGTTTCACTGCCTCTTGTCACCAGAGAAGGATCAGCCTTTATATTATGGTTAGTTGATCTCGCTCACTGTGTGTTTTCAAGTCGCACACAAAGGAGGGAAAGCGAATAGAGGGGAAGAAAATATTCAGCAGTTTTCAACTTTGAGAGGGTTCACACAGATGGCTTATGATAAACAATGTGGAACCTTCACATTTTTGCCAGATTAACTGTGTGTTTGTATTCTTTTGATTAATTTCTCATCTAATAAAACATCTTGCTAATTAAAACAGTGCCTTGAAAGTAAACCTCGAATTTCCCAGATGGTCTTTGACCCATAAGAGGGGAAGCGGAGTGCATGTGTGCATGGTTTTGTAATTGGAATTGTAAGGCAAATTCCTTTGTTTTTGTTGTTCACTAAAGAAATTAGGGTTTAAGATCTAAAGATGAGTATGAGATAAGAGTTCAGAATTTCAGCTTTTATTTCCTGGTATTCACATCTAGATGTGTTAAACAACTCAGGACATATCACTGTTTGCATTAGACCACAGCATTCTTAGGTGAGCAAAAGTAATGGAACAAATAATCTTAAAGTAAGTAACACTTAATATTTGGAGGCATAACCTTTGCTTGCAATAACTGCCTCAAGCCTGCGACCCATCGACATCACCAAACTGTTGCATTCTTCGTTAGTGATGCTATTCCAGGCTTTTACCACAGCTTCTTTCAGTTCTTGTTTGTTTCGGGGTGTTTCTCCCTTCAGTCTCCTCTTAAGGAGGTAAAATGCATGCTTTATTGGGTTAAGGTCAGGTGATTGACTTGGCCAGTCTAAAACCTTCCACTTTTCCTTCAACAAGTCCTTTGTTTTGTTGGCAGTGTGCTTTGGGTCATTGTCCTGCTGCATGATAAATTTCCTCACGATTAGTTTCAATGCATTTCTCCGTAAATTGGCAGACAAAATGTTTCTGTCCACTTCTGAATTCATTCTGCTGCTACCATCATCAGTTACATCATCAATAAATATTAATGAGCCTGTTCCAGAAGCAGCCATGACATTACCTCCACCATGCTTCACAGATGAGCTTGTGTGCTTCGGATCATAAGCAGTTCCTTTCTTTCTCCACACTTTGGCCTTTCCATCACTTTGGTAGAGATTAATCTTGGTCTCATCAGTGCATAAGATTGTGTTTCAGGATAATGGTTTGCTTTTCTCCCATAGACAGCTCTCTGGTCTTCATGTTGGTTTATCCTCTTTAACAGGAAATGCAGTCTTTATAGGTTTGAAACAAGGATGAAAACTTAGACTAGTCATGCAGAGCTATTTAATGTTTGGACAATCAACCTAAAAGGCAACACCTGGGCAACAAGAAACATCTGTCAGTCACATGTTCCAATAGTTTTGCTCACTTGAAAAATGGGTGGATTCAAACAAAGGGTGATATGTCCTGAGTTGTTTAACACATCTAGATGTGAATACGAGGAAATGAGAGCTGAAACTCTGAACTCTTGTCTCATACTCATCTTTTGATCTTAAACCCAAATGTCTTCAGTGAACAACAAAAACAAACGGAATTTCCCTTACTGTTGCAATACTTTTGGAGGGGACTGTATGCATGTTTGTATGTGTGAATGTGTGTGTGTTGCCATGAAGTTGGGATGGTGCATAGATTTACATTTTTAATTGCATGAACATTAATCTGTTTGTTTCTTAATAAAGTACAAAATAATATGCATCACAAAATAAACATACAGCCCCTTCCACTCCCCCACCCTACAGCTCGTCATCACCACATTAACCTTGATCGTCAGTGTAAATATGCTCCATCATAGGCTGTGAACACATTGGTTAAAGCAAGATAAAAATCAACAAACAAAACAAGGAAAGACAATACAACTACATACATTTTCTCCATGCCTAGCATAAGACACTAAACACTAAACACTAAAGGTGACTCCCCGTTCTCCAAAAAGGCTTCGTTTTTTTCTTCTCGAATGCTGCCACTCTTGCCATCTCAGCAGTCCGTTTGTGGACTGAAGGCACCCCCTCAGTCTTTCATCCTCTGAGAAGAATCTGTCTGCTTATCATAATAATGTCTGTCTCCTCCCATTAAGACTGATTCATCAGCTAAAACAAACAATCTGGGACTGAATGGAATTCAGGTCTCTGAAATTGAGATTTTCACACACACACACACACACCTACCACACACACACACACACACACACACACAC